CCATTTATTTTTTTGTGTGTCATTATGTCTGGCATATGGAGCTGCTGCTCATCATTTGCCTAAGAACGGGGCAACATCAAGAACAAGTGCTGATGCTCATGGAGCCCCGCTAAATTAGGGGAGTCTCTGAGCTAAGCTGGTAATCCCTTCAGGAGACAAAACGAATGTTAAGTTCGCCAGCTGGCTGGCCAGCAGGCCACAGGTCGTCAATTAAAATGATTGCGGGAAGAGCAGGCTGGGGATTAGCATCAACACAAATATGCAAAATATAAGGCTCAAGGCTTACCTCAGCTCGCATTCATTCAGAGCTGCGTGCTAGCAGAGGCTGGCCTCATGCGTGTTATTGTTGATGATTGCAGAGATTGGCATTGGGCTGACGCTGTTCGGTGTGGCATTCTTTACGCTTGGTATAATTCTGTTCCTGGACGGTGCATTGCTTGCTATCGGAAATGTTCGCGTTTGCTTTGCTTACTTCTTTTTTTCGCCCTCAAAACTGCCCCATCTTTGATTTTGTGGAATATTGCTGGGGTTTTTTTTTTTGTGTTTTCGTTAAAGACGATTCACTGCAAGCCCACTTCTGTGCTCGTCACTGTCCATTATGCAAAATTCATAGGATGAATTGCGAGTGGGGTAGCAAGAAGAGGCTCTCAGGGCAGAGTTACCCGATGTATAGAAGGTTGTACCCGCGGGAACAGCATGCCAGTTGTCCTTATTTGGAGAAGTTGGAATTTGAGAATAATGCAGTACGGCTGAATGAATGCGCAGAAATCCAAGTCCTATGACCCTTAGCCCAAAATTGTTATTGTAATTGCCCCTAGAACTGGGTACCGAAATGGGCGCTCTTAACGCGTGGTACCGACGTACGAGCCCGCCAAAATTTTTTTCGGGTAAGTTTTTAACTCGGGAACCTGAAAAGCTAGAAGGCTGAAATTTTAAGGGAATGTTCCTCGTCTAAGTTGATTTTAAGGAGTTCAAACCCAAGGATGGATTTTTGGTGTTTTTCATGCGCCGTATGGCCCCAGGTAACATCGTGAGCATGTAATGCGTGTTGAGGTAATGTTGCTCTACTCCACTCCTTCTGCCCCAGAAACGCATAAACGTCCCATTACTCGTATTAAACTAAAAGGTTCGTTTTCGATTTACCCCATTCCCTCTTCTTTCCTTTCGTGTCCTCACCGCTTCTTCCCCGATCTGAATTTGCTTCAGAAAGTTTGGTTCGGCCTATCAGCGGCTGGAAAAATTTTTTTCAGTTTCACCCGGTTCTACCGCCTCACTTGGACTGTCCATTCTTCATTTGGCCATCTAATCGCCCTTATGTTATCTTAACATCTTTAAATTATTACAAATGGGCAAGAAGTTTTTAAACTATGTTACTGGCAGCACGGTACTAAGGTTTTTATTACCACCCCTCATCTACCACAACCCTGACATTCCTATTTGAAATGATCACTTCTTGGTCGGGCCTACATTGCCCCTTCTTCTCTTCCTATTTCTGTTCCGTGAATTTCGCGCTGCCTCTTCTTCGTTCTTTTGAATATTACCAGTTCTATAGCCTTAAACTTTCGCATCGCGTCTAACAAGGTTCATTTTGTTTTTCGAGCTTTTTACCCCGCCCGAATTTTAATCCTCTTCAGCAGCATGGAAGATTCTTCTGTCATAAAAAAGGCAAAATCATTTGTTACGTCGTTGATCATACATTTGTTTCGTTGTGCTAGCAGTAGGCTGGTACATTGTGTTAGCAGTAGGCTGGTACATTGTGTTAGCAGTAGGCTGGTACAACCACCTTTTTTAACTTTTGTCTTTAATTTCTTGTCTTTTATAAAGCTCGATCAGTTACTGTTCGAGATTTTGCGATTTTTAATGAATGCCTTCGCAATTTCAGTTATTATTTATCAGTGGCTTGGTACTGGTAATCGGCATACAGCGGACAGTGGCCTTCTTCTTTCAACGGCACAAGTTAAAAGCTTCCACTCTCTTCTATGGTGGCATTTTCATTGTATTATTTGGATGGCCACTTATAGGAATTATTGCGGAAATCTGGGGCTTCGTCCTTTTATTTGGGTTTGTGCTTTTGTTTTTGTGTCCAACTTCAAATTTTAAAAGTTTGCTCTAAAACTTGGTAAACTGGTAGTTTGCCTCCAAATCCAGGCTTGCATTAATGGCTCGAGTTGATCGGTCCTGTTACGATTCGTTGATTCGCTTCATGAGTTTAGTCCTTTGCAGGATCAAAGGGTTCTAAGTAACACTTGGAAGGTAATCGCCTTCGTCGATAGTCTTATCAGCGGCTAGATACTTCTGGTTAAGTGGTACCGACGGTGATATATTTATTCATCAAACAGTACATACACAGATGTCAAGCATTTGAAGAAAAGAACATATTTTGATAACAGTGCACTGATTTACAATCCTTCCAAAGAACAGACCACGGGGCATGGCCACTAAAAGCAAATGTTGACACGGACCACTCCAGAATGCCACATCAAATTTTAGTAATTAGGTTTTTGAATGCAATTATGTTTGTTTGACAGTGGTCTTACTGCATTACACTTCCCACCATTTGCTCCTTTTAATGCGTTTTTTGCTATAACAGTTGCAGAAAACTAACGTTTTCACAACCTTATTTGTGTATGTGTTTTGTGTTCGAGTGCGCTTTGTCCCGGGTTTTCAACTCAAGAACCAGAAAGCTAGCAAGCTGAAATTTTAGAGGGATGTTCCCGATCGATGTGCAATCTGAAGATTTCAAATTTAGCTTTCACATACTCAGTTCCCAAGTGCAGGCACATGAAAATTTTGGCACAAAAAACCATTAACTTGGGAGCCAGAGGAGCTATGAGTGCAGGATTTTAGGATAATATTTTCTCTTTCTGTTCGGCCTCAGAAACTTTTGTTTAGTTTCCACGTACATTTAGGTTTCCCATCCGGACACGTTAAACTTTTAACTGGATATTCTCTGACTCGGTGCAGGACAAGACAGGAAACTGGTGTGAGGAAGTTTCCTGCCCAAATTTAAGCTCAGCCTCCGAATCCGTTATATTGGCGTTAGGAACCGGACAAGATGGAAAGCAGAAAATTTAGGGTAATTCTTCCTGTCAGTGTGCAGTCCTAAATTTTCGAATTCAGCTTTTTTGTCCGCGCCACACCTGTGGACTCGTAGAATTTTGCTCGGGGAACTTTTTAATTCGGAGGCTGCATAAGATGCACGATCTCACCGGCTACCGCTGGTGCACGCCGCTGTTATTTGTTTAATTATTTTGCATTTGAAATATTTATTTCAGCGGGTTTTTGCCGGTTGCCGTAAACTTTCTTCGACAAGTTCCTGTCATTGGTAGTTTCCTCTGTTTACCCGGGATCTCGCAGGTAAAATTTTTTTACTTTTTGTTACACCACTTGATCAATCTTTAAAAATAAATAATGTTCCTCTGTAAAAAAACGCGCCGCAAGCAAGTTTGATGAGTGTGTGGAACTGGAATTGATGATTGAATATGAGCCATTCGAATTCACATAAGAAAATAAGCATAACGGTGTAGAATAGTCGAAAAAGATGAAGAGGAATGACTGTTCAGATTCAGTATACATGAGGTGTCCTTTTCAATAGGCCTGTTTCGGATGTGCTATTGTCGGAAGATTTCTGTAGAATTGCTCTCGTATTAGCAAACCACTTTTGAGTTTGTATCTGAAAAAATCACCTATTTGAATCCGTAACAAAAAATTGGTGGCATACCGA